CCTGTAACATTTTTGCCTCTTCCTATAATAGCCTTGCTGAGGAAGCCCCATAAACTCTAGGACAGCCTGTACCACAGTGTTTGGTGGACACAGGTCTGTCTCCGCCATCCTCATTTCATCAAATGCTTATGCTGAACTGGCACACAGGCAGACCTGAGAATGCAGGATGCCCTGCCCTCCCCAACTCACAATCCTGTGGAGGAGAAAGCAACAAGAACTCCCCACCACTTGCTCCCCTAGGACTGGGGGCCCAGCTAGCACAACAGTCCCCTTGTTCTGTGACTCAGCTCCTGGCAGTTAAGGGGAAAAGGTTTTATGAACATAAAGCTCTGTGTATTCGCTATAAAAACTTCAAAGGCCACAACAGGTTGTATTCTTTTTGTTTGTCTTTTTGAGACAGGGTCTCACTATGCAGTTCAGGCTGGTCTTGAACCTGCAACAATCCTCCTGCCTCAGCCTCCCAAGTGCTGGGATTATAGGCGTGCGCTGCCATGACCGGCAGCATGACAGGTTATTAAATGAAAAGACGTGCCATGTTCCTGGCACGTTTTTATCTTGTTTCCCAGTGGGAGCCACTGCTAGGTTTTCTTAGCAGTCTGTCTGGAGTCTGTCCCCCAAAGAAAGCAGCTTGCTGTTTGATGCCAAGCAGGAGTGTGGGATAGGGTCATCAGAGCTGGCCAAAGTTCTAGAGAACATTGTCTTCCATTCTCTATAGATGCAAATATTCTAAATACTCTTCTGGAAATTGCATCTTTTTTTCACCTTATGTAATCAATTCCAAATGAAGTAATGTAGAACAACGATCAGCAGTTTTTTTTTTATAACATACGGGCAGCGTAACTGGTACATACAGGTACCCTTTTATTATTGTCCCCAGAGAGGAAAGCCCTTGCAGGAACTCCATCCTCAGGAAAGAGGTGGAATGTGTTCTCCCTCAAAGTAGAAGTAACTGACAGCCAGGCATCGCGCTGTATGCCTGTAATCCCAGCACTTAGGAGACTGAGGTAGGATGATCACCACTTCTTTCGAGGCCAGCCTAGGCTACACAGTGAGTTCAAGGCCAGTCTAAAGTACATACTGAGACCCTGTCTCAAAAAAGAAAAAAAAGTACAAGTGGCTGATCTTACAGAAACCAAGTGGAAAAAGTATACTGATGTTGAGACAAGGCTAGTGAAGCACACTGTCCCTCCTTTGCTGAATGCTGATTGGTGGATGCAATCATCTGCGCTAGGGCTAGGGCATGGACTGGGGTTGAGGGAGGTCTGCCCAATACCTGGTCCATGCCAACGGCTCCTGAGGGCTGCCAGCCAAGGCCTCTGCTGCTTACCAGGCCTAGTCTCCCTGGTAGATGGGGGAGGTGCTGCTCAGGCCTGATGCTGATCTCTCCTGACAGCTGCTCCTAAGGCTGGCAGGACAGCAGGCATCGGGGGTGGGAGGTGGTGTGTGTATGACTGGATTTAAAGATTCAGTTGCCCCGCCCCTTGCCAGACCTGGGCAGGCCTGCACCGGTGAGCATCCTCCAAGGACATGGCTGTCATGCATACAAGAGACCAGGGACCCCTGTGCCCTCTACTTCTTGGCACCATGAACACCACTGGCCTTCACATCTGCTTCTCTACCCCATAGGCCGCCTGGGAGACTAGTGCCCCCCACCATGCGATTTAGACGCCTGACTCCTGGCTACTTCCGGGTACTACAGGTAAGTACTCCTACCTGGTATGTCTTCTAGCATCACGGACCTCTTCTTCCCCTGTCATGGCCGGACTGACACCCCCAACAGCCAGGCTATCATGTTCAGTGCCGCCTGACTAGCCAGGGCCCAGATAGTCAGTGAAGCGAGAGGGATTGGGGTGGAATCTCCCTGGGGCAGCAATGGCGGCCCTATCTCCTTTACCCAGCTGAACCTTCTCTGCTCCTGCCTGCCTAAAAGTCTCAACTAGCCCCTCAGATGTGTCCTCCGTGCACCCCCACTAGATGCAGGTGGCTGGGCAGCTGAAGGCAGAGCCGCGGAGCCCCCTGGCTGGGGTTGTGGCAACACTGCTGGCTGTCCTCGGGCTGGGCGGCTCCTGCTATGCTGTGTGGAAGATGGTGGGGCAGCCGCCACCGCCGCCATCACAGGTCCCATGACGGAGCAGACAGCCTCTCACTCGGGCTGTGGAGGTAGGTGACTCAGAGCAGGGGGCTGCAGCCCCAGAAATGCACTTTTTTCCTGGAGATCAGTCCCTGCCCTTATTTGAAGCAGGGCAGAATAAATGCAATCCTCCTTCCCCACTTCACACTGCACCTAGGCTCCAGCTCAGATGGCAAGACCCAGAAAAAAAGGCCAGAACGTAGGTTCTAAAGGTGGGTCAAGCCGGGTGTGATGGCGCACGCCTGTAATCCCAGCACTTGGGAGGCTGAGGCAGGTTTGTCGTGAGTTCGAGACCAGCCTGGGATACAAAGTGAGCTCAAGGCCAGCCTGAACTGCATAGCGAGACACTGTCTCAAAAAGACAAAAAAGGCCAGGGAGAGAGCTTGGTGGCACAGTGCCTGCCTGGCAAGCGAAAGGTTCTCAGTTCGACTCCCGGTACAAAAAAAACAAAACGAAACAAAACAAAAAAACCCCACAACAACAAAGGTCGGTCAAGTAGGGATCAGACATCCTGGACCCTGTACGCAGAAAGTAGCAGAGAAACCTCTATGGCAGGACTTTGTGGCTGAGGTCTGCAAGCTAAAATTAGAGGTAAGCCCTCATTTCCGGTTCCTTTATTGGGGGAGGGTACCCAGAAGGGGCAATCTATCCACCAAACCCAGGGCCCCAGACGGTTTGGTACCCGATCTCCCAACCTAGTCCTTGCACCACTGTGCACGGGCAGCGCCTCTGCCTTGCATACTCAGGCCATGTCAGGTAGAAGTGTCCATCTCAGGGACCTCAGTGGACACTTCCGTGGGCACTGGCAACCGCTGGGGGGGTACATAGGAGCCCATGCCGGCTGCCCTCTCCGCCTCTTCCTGACTGTAGGGTTCGATGGTCAGCTGTTTCAGCCTGGGAGAAAGAACAGGAGTTGGGAGCTGAACGAGCACAAGCCCTGACAGCGCAGCACCCATTCATCAATCCTCTCCTTACGCCATACCTTTTCTTGTGGTCTTTGGATCGGAAGTGGGTCTTCAGGTTGGCGGAGTCGATGAAGTACCTCCTGCAGGGATGGGGGTGTGAGAGGAGAGAAGAGGTGATGCCTCTCAGGTACGCCTATCTCCCTAAGCCTAGCTCTTTCCTCAGACTCCCGCCCTGAAGGGATGGGAGGTGGGCGGACCCACGGGTCCTAAGAGCGGAGACCTCACGGCCTCTGCCGTGCAGACCTTCCTGTGCCCGGGGCTGGGCTCAGCCGGGACTCACGCGCAGGCCAGACAGCGATGCAGGCCGCCTCCCGGCAAGTCAGGGTCGGGCTCGGCGTCGGGGTCGGGCTTGGGCCGTGTGGGACCCTGCGGCCGCAGCTCCCGGTGAATCTCATCCAGGTCCGGCCGCCGACGCTTGGCCTTCATCTGGCGGGCTAAGGAGTGCGCTCGGTGCGCGCCTGTACGGCGGGAGCGACCCATGGCCAGTGACAGCACGGCCCGGGGACCGGGGGCAGACAGGGGGCCACACGTGTTTGGCACTTCCGGAACGCTCAATGACGTCGGAGACGCCCGGGGGCGGAGCAGGATCGACCCGACCGCCTCTGATGACGTCACTGACAGAGCCCGCCTCTTGAGCGCCCCCAAGTGGCCATGGACGTTAGTGACGGGGCTCGGGGAATGGCCTGGGAAGCTTGCTCACAGCTGGCACGAAGCCCTCCTTCTCCACGGCCGGGCTATGTACAGCGTGTACCTGGGAGGCTTAGGGCTGGGCCTGTACCTCTGCCCGCCCCCGGTGGCCCTGACATTCCTTTCTAGTGTCCACGCATGAAGACTCCGTGGTGGGAGTGAGGTGCAGTAGCCACCTCTCAAAGGCACAGATATGAATAAATTAATAAATGATTCGAGTAATTTTGAGATCCTGGCCCAAACAAAGCTTCGAGAGATACCTCCAGTCCCTGACAAAGCCTTTACCATGGCTCACGGTTCCTGTTGTTCATTCCCTTGAGTCTCTTTCCTCCATCTGCCCCCAAATCCAGCGGCAGGAAGTTTCCTTCCAAGAGGTCCCAGCATTCTGGCCCCCTGTCAGGTAAGAGGGCTTGGCTCCTTTGGTAAGAAGCAGTGCCCTAAAACCGGGCGTGGTGGTGATGCCTGTAATCCCAGCATTTGGAAGGCTGAGGCAGGAAGATTGCAGCGAGTTCGAGGCCTACCTGGGCTACATAGTGAGTTCAAGGCCAGCCTAAACTTCATAACGAGACCATGTCTTGAAAGAAACAAGCAACAACAACAAAACAGAGACACCCGAGAAGCACAGCTTTATTTTTGCTTCCAGAAAGGAGCCCAGGAAAGACCGGAAGAAGAGAAACAGCATGGCCTCCCAGAAGAGGGCTGGCAGCAAGGGCAGAGATACAGCCTAGGTGTTGTATGCTGAGTGCGGAGAGGGCCTGAGGCCTCCCAGGCTGGCCAGAGCCAGTTCCACTGGACCGGGCCAGAAGAGCTCAGCAATAATTCAGAGGCTCCAGCTCTTTGGAACCTGTTGCCAGGGAACAGGGAGGAAGGCACGTGCATCCCCAGGGAAAGGACTAAATTTCTAGGGCAGACAAAGCAGTGAAATGTAAACCCGTGGTACCAACCAGGGGCCTAGGGACTTTCCTGTTCTGGTTCGTGGAGCCTGAGAGGGGACACAGGGCTGGGCCCTGCCCAGGGCCTGGCTGGAGTGGCTATAGGCACAGAGGTTGCCAGCGTATGTCCTAACCCAAGGATTTGGTGAATACAAGATTTCTCTGGAGCCATTCGAAGAGCTGACAAACTCAAGTATTCCTAGGCTTAGGAAGGTATCCTCTCCAGAGAGATGTCTTCATTATTCTTGGCCAATATAGGTCAAGACAAGGGATGGAGGTAGCAGAAGCCCGCCCCCACCTCAGGCTCCTTTGGATCAGGTTCACCTGCTGGGCACTGTGCTAGTCGGGGAGGTTGGTGCATCTTTAATGAAGTCACCCGATACCCAGAACAAGCTTTTGGCTCCACCAAGTTCCTGAAGCCAGACCTACTGGTGCCCACCGAGCCACCGACTTCCGTGCCTGGGTACCAGGCCTCTCTCTCCTTCAACCATGAACCAGGCCTTCTGGAAAACCTACAAGTCCAAAGTGCTACAGACCCTGAGCGGGGAATCTGAGGAGGACCTGGCGGAGGAGGTGGGTACCCTCTATGCCGCCAGGCTGGGCCTGGGCAGAGGCAGAGCAGGAATGAGATACAAAGAGGGGCCAGGGCCGGGCTCTGAGAGAGGAAAAGGCACATCTGTGCAGAAGCCCTGTGCGCTCAAGGGTTGCAAACAGACACAATGTTTGAAAAAACTGAGGAGGAAGAGATGAATGACCACTGAGAGGTCCTGAGAGAAGTGACCACTGTCTCTGTGGATTTCGAGGGCTCCCATATGGACCAGATTCCTCTAGGACCAGTGGGCAGTAGCCACATGGGGTATATTTAGCTGGACCCAACTTTCTAATGGCAGAGCAGGGCCGAGTGGGATGGCTTGCCTTGCGAGATGGTGAGTTCCCTGTTTCTGGAGGTAGAAAAGGCACACCCTATACACCGAAGGTCTTTTTAGCAGCCTCATGTGAAGCTATACTCAGACCATGCTTTACTCTGATTTTTAAATAATTTACAGCCGGGTGTGGTGGTGCACGCCTGTAGTCCCAGCACTTGGGAGGCTGAGGCAGGAAGATCCTTGTGAGTTTGAGACCAGCCTGGGCTACAAAGTGAGCTCAAGGCCAGCCTGAACTACACAACGAGACCCTGTCTCAAAAAGACCAAAACAAACACACAATTTACAACAAAACAAAACAGGAGTGGAGGCATGTGCCTGTGGTCCCAGCCGCTTGGGAGACTGAAGGAGGAGGGTTGCTTGAGCCCAGAACTTCAAGACCAGTCTGGACAACATAGTGAGACATCTAAAAAAAAAAAAAAAAGAATCAAAAAGGCTCTGAAACTGAGAACAGTCTTAAGTCTAGAGGCCATTGTAAACGGCAGCCATGCAATTAGATGTGGCAGGGACAAGAACTAGTCCTCTCTGTGGGTGACTGTGAATTAAGTGTGTGTCCAAACAGGTTGGTGTCCAAAGCTGGGCTGGTGTGGAAATGTCCACAGTGTAGAACCCTCAGAGAAGGTAGATGTGCAGGTGGAGCAGAATCTAGGTATTTTCAGGTGTGTACATTTTGGCCAGGAATCCGGGCCTGCGCGCTTTGGGCTGGCATTTGCAGGTGTCACTTGTATGGCGTGTGTATCTGGGTGTCCGTAAATGGGTGGAGAGATTCCGTGTGCCGTGGATGGGCCTCTGTGCCGCTATGTGCAGTTGTGTAAAGTTGTGTAAGTGCACAGGTGAATGCGTAAGTGCATGCACGTCCTTGTATAGGGGCTCGCTACACATTTATGCACAGGTGAAGAGCTGTGGCCGTGTGCAGGGATGCTTACGTACAAGTGCGTCTGCATCAGCGGGCAGTCCTTGTCCACGTGTTCTGGACGTGTCTGTGGGTAGGCAGCTCTGTGTGCTCTAGGGTCCTGTGGGGGTTTCCTCCACAGGTGCGTATACGTGAGTGGCGGCTTTGTGCACGGGCACATCTGTGTGCTCTCCATGTGCTTGGTGGAAGTGCAAGATGTCCAGGTGTGTGCTTATTTGATGGGACTTGGGGAGCCTGGTCTGCGTGGATCTGCTTAGCGGTCGGGGAGGGAGGTCTCACTTCTCCGGGGCTTTTCTCACATGGGGCGGCGGTCTTGTGTCCCAGAAGGAGAACCCAGCGTTAGCGGCATCTGAGACGGCAGAAGCCACTGAAGAGGCCTCCAGTCCCATGTCACAGCTGGCCCGCCGGGTGAGTTCCTCTCACATTTCCCACTCGAAGCTTGAGAAAGCCGGCAGAAGCTGGTGGGGAGCCGCGGCAGGCTGTGCTGGGGGCCTTCCTTCCCTGACCTCCAGCCCATCCCTCCCAGGTCCAGGGCGTCGGGGTGAAAGGCTGGCTGACCATGGCATCTCTGTTTAACAAGGAAGACGAGGACAAGCTGCTGCCGCCCGAGCCCTGCGCTGACCAGTATGTGTGTGTTTACGGGGTGGTCCTGGGTGGCGCCTGGGGTCCCTCTTTGGTCAGTTCTTTCAGGTCTGTTGGTCTGTCTTTCTAACCCCGGAGGGTCAGGGAAAGGCAGCCCCTGACCATCCATTTCTCTCAGCAGGGTAGAGCCACATTATCTGGGAGATTAAGTTAGATCTCCCAAGGAATTTACCAACTGTTGGGATTTAGGTGCTGGAAGGTGTTTATGGGCTGTCTGGGAAGGGCCCTGTCCCCAGAGTCCAGACGCAGAGGAAAGGGTCCTCGAGTGTTTGCAAATTCCTGGACCCTCCTGCAGAGATCTGAATTCACTAGGTGTAGACAGAGGCCTGGGTTGCCAGAGAACCCTGAGGCACACTAATTTGGGAACCACACAGTTTTATTTATTTATTTATTTTTGTCTTTTTGAGACAGAGTCTCACTTTGTAGTTCAGGCTGGCCTTGAGCTCACTTTGCCAGGCTGGTCTCGAACTTGCAACAGTCCTCCTGCCTCAGCCTCCCAAGTGCTGGGATTATAGATGTGCGCCACCACACCCGGTTTACTTGTTTTTTTGATCCAGGGTCTTGCTATGTAGTTCAGGGTATCCTTAAACTCACTATGTAGTCCACGCTGGCCTAGATCTCCTGGCGATCCTTAGAAGGTCTTTAATGATGAGGGGTTGGGGGTGGGGCTCAGGGTGTCAGTCTACCCCCCCATCCCAGGTACACCGCCATCTCGGCCCTTTTCTGCTGCCCAGTTACAGCCCCCATACCACTCCTTCCTGCCCCCACCCATCCATCTCTCCCCACCCCCACGTTCCTACTTCTCCCTTCCAGTTCCTAAGGCTTCCCAGACCTGAGGCTCCAGCTTCACGCCTCCTACCCCTGCTTCCTTCCCACCTCCCGCCTACCACCCCGAGTCCCATCCCCCCACACACACCCCCCACACCCCCGTTCTCCAGCTTCTGGTCTGGCATTTTCTCTTTCTTTAGAGTCGCTCCACCGGTTTCCTCCCACGTCCCTGGGCCGTCCTTCCCTCTATCCGGGGACTGCATCCCCTCCCAGCGTCGTCCCTTTCCCTTCAAGTAGGGTCTAAACGTGCCCATCCCACCCGGAGCCGGGCTCCCACTCCTCCCGCCCCAAACCTCGGCCGCGCCCCTCTCACGGCTCCTCCCTCAGTTTCCCAGACTCGGGGCCTCCGACTCCCCTCCGCTGGCGTCGCCCCTCACCCTCGAGATCCCTTCTCAAACCCCCCAACCTGCTCTCCTCTGGGATCCCGGCCCCCTCTCTCCAGGCTCATCCGCTGTTTTTGTTTGTTTGTTTTCCGGTACCGGGAATCAAACTCACGACCTCGCGCTTGCCAGGCAGGCGCTGTGCCGCTGAGCTAAATCCCCAGCCCCAAACATTCAATTTTTTTTTTTTTTTTTTTTTTTTTTTGCCGTACCGGGGATCGAACTCACGACCTTGCTCAGCCAGGCAGGCGCTTGTGCCACTGAGCTATATCCCCAGCCCCCGTCCGCTCTTTGACCCTGTGTCTCCCGTTGCCCTCCTTCCCAGAGCTCCGAATCCTCCCTCTGCCTCCAGGCTCTGACCTCGTCCTGACTCTCCCCGCAGCGCGGCTCGCCCCTTGTCCCCGCCCCCTGTCCTCCGTCCCTTTCCGGGACTCCCCCGCCGGCCGCTGACCCTCCTCTCCGCAGCCCGCTGGCGGCGCGACCCCCCTCGCAGGCGGCGGCGGAGGCGGAGCCGCGCGGCCCCGGCTTCTGGGACGCGTTCGCCAGCAGGTGGCAGCAGCAGCAAGCGGCGGCGGCGTCCATGCTGCGCGGCGCCGAGCCCGGCCGGGAGCCGGACCCGGAACCCGGGGACGAGGCCGCCGAAGAGGCCGGCGAGCACCCCGAGCCGAGGGAAGCGGACCCCGCGGCCGGCTTCAAGTGGGGCTTCCTCACCCACAAACTGGCCGAGATGAGGGTGAAGGCCGCGCCCAAGGGCGACTAGCCAGCCGGCCGGCCGGACTGGAACCCGCCTCCCCCCATAAAAAGTACCCCCAGCCCAGTGCCTCATGTGACCGCGTGGTTTCATCCTGGCAACAGCGAAAGCAGTTTGGGGGTAGGCGCCCCCGCGCAGTCTTTCTGGAAAGCCCCTTCCTCGTTCCCCTACGAACGTGCAGGGGGGCAATGGCCGGAGACAGCCCGGGTGTCAGGTTGGGTGCCGCTGGTTTGAGGTACAACTTCCTAGAAAGCAGGGGTACCCAGAGGACCGGCTTCGAAGTCCCGTCCAGCCTTGCTTACGTTAGGTGGGCCTGCTGCCTACGTGGGCCGTGTACTGTGGACAGGTCACAGCCGAGCGGGAGAACTCAGCATTAGCAGGTGCAGCAGAATGTGACACATCAGACACAAAAATAGGGGTGCTGATGGTAAGTCGGGAGGACTGGGAACTCGGGGAGGTTTCCTGAAGAATACGCGATCCTGCCGGGCGTGGTGGCGCACGCCTGTAATCCCAGCACTCTGGAGGCTGAGGCAGGAGGATCGTTGCGAGTTCGAGGCCAGCCTGGGCTACAACGTGAGCTCAAGG